CGCCCCCGGGCCGCTTCCAATTCAACCCTCGCCGTTTTCTTTTATTTAAAAAATATGCTTATATAGTTGGGGTAAACGCACTCTTTGACCCGTCATTGATTGTGAGCTGTGAACTTCTTTTGCCACAAAGTGGCTATTGTTGTTGCTCTTATGAGCCATAAAACCTGTGACTGTAAGTACATTAAGGTTCAAGTGTGAGTGTCTGTTTATGTACGTCTGTTTTTCTATCTGTCTATATATCTGTCCATGCGTGTGTTGTTTGTGTGCATTTGTGTGTATTTACGTGTGTGCGTGGAGTGAGTGAGGGAGGAGGGAGAGTTTGGGGGCGACGGAGAAATGATGACGCCCAACATGCGTGAAATCAAGTGCCAGTCGGGCATCAAATCATATAGTGGCTTATCTTAACTGTTGGTTGTTACATTGAGCAGAAATCCACTCGACTACGTACGTTTTTCTCAAGATTTTGGTAGGGTGTTTTGCACATTCTCCTTTGCATTTGGCATTTGGTTTGGAAATATCTATTTGACATTGCCTCCTCTCTGTCGGGCCTGACCCTGGCTGTAAGTCGCGAGTATAAAACATGGGGAAAAGGGAGGGGGGGGGATACTTTTGGACCTACTTTTTGGGAAAATTGCTTGTATTATAGGCGATTATATTATACGGTATATAAAATGGCATGCTTCTTTTGTCGTGTATATTATTTGTACTATGCCATAAAGACCTAACTGTTCATCTTGTATCCCTCTCAGGTTCACGGCCAGAGCTCCCCCATCCCACAGATGCAGATGTTGCTCACGGCGGCCGAGACCTGTCCGCCAGAAATGGTCAGTTTACTGTTTGTCTGTTTGTTCAGTTTGTCTTACATGCAATTAGTAACCTGATGCCCATTGTTTTATGGGTGTTTTGTGAAAGTTGTTGGCCGCTGTGGCTGTGTACTTCAGGGACTTGATATCGGTGTCTGTGGTGTAGTGGTTAGGCCCCTCTCTGTGCACGTAGGAGATGTTAGTTCGATTCATTGTTGAGACGTGAGGGTTTTTTTTTATCGAGTATCTCCGCCTGTCTACTGAGACATTGTTTCCCTTTCAACGCAGGCTGGCCCTTACAGGCAGGGTCCAAGCAGCTCGCCTCCCAAATTGTCAGCTTTTGATTTAGAAAGGTTTTACGGCGCTCACAACTGCATAAGGTTATATGAGCGCAAGGGGTTGATGTCTGATGTCAACAGAGAAGTCCAAACGGGGAATCAGGCTTACTCTGCTCACCTCTCTAGCTCCAACAGCACAAAGTCTGCTTCGACTATCAAGGCGCCCCGGAAATAACAGTTCACAAGAGAGTGACAAACATACAAAAGAAGTAGGGGAAAATGACGATAGTAAGGATGAGGAAAGAAAAATCAGAAGTTCCCCCTATGTTGTTCCGACACAGTATGAGCATGGCATTAATAAATCAGCCCATTTACAATTCTACTGTTCATAAGAACATGTTAATACCCCCATCCCCCCTGGGAATGGCCTTAAGACAACTTCAGTCAGTAGCACTGTGCCCTGGTGGGGGATTCTTAAGTTATCTAAATAGTTTCGATGGTAGATGTAGAGCATGAGCTACAGTTACGATATATTACGAACTTGATCTGTAACGGGGAGGTTCGGGATTCGAACCTGAGATTAAACGAGTCGGTTTGTGTTCCTTATTGGACTGTGGCCTCTCTTATTGGTGTGTTGGCGTGAGATAGTACTCATCTGTCTTTGAAGTTGCCCCATATTTTCAAAATATACAGTATTTACACTGCTATATAATCTAGATTTGGAAAATAACGATATGTATATATATGCATGAACATTTTCAGATTGATCGGTTTGATATGTTATATCCGCTCTCAGAAATATACATCTATCGTTTTGAATAACGTCTGTGATACTAAACATTCTTTTGACTTGTGAGAAATAGAGAATGAAGTGTTCTTTGTATATCCTTTTTCGGGGG